TACTATTACTCTTACTATTACCATTACTATTACTATTCCTATTACTGTTACTATTACTATTACTATTCCTATTACTATTACTATGTTTATTACTATGACTATTACTATGACTATTACTATGATTATAACTATAACTATAACTTTAACTACAACTATAACTATAACTATAACTATAACTAAAACAATCACTATTACTATTACTATTACTATTATTATTACCATTACTATTACTGTTACTATTACTATTACTATTACTATTACTATTACTATTACTATTACCATTACTATTACTAGTACTAGGGCTATGACTATTGCTACGACTATGATTATGACTATTACTATTACTTTTATTATTAGTATTACTATCATTTTTACCATTACTATTACTATTACGATCAGTATCGCTATCACTATTACTTTTATTATTACCAGTCGTATTACTAGTTCTAGTACTATTATTATTAATATTACTCTTACTATTACTACTACTAATACTGTTTTCATTATGAATACTATTACTATTACCATGGCCATTACCATTACTATTATTGTTATGATTTCTTTTAGTACTCTTATTATTTCTATTACCATTACCATTGCTATTATTAGCACTATTACTACCACTCTTACTCTTATCCTTATTCCTTATTAGAATATACTCCTACTCCCCCCTCAGGCCGGCAGATAGGGGGCGCATCCGGGTGGTCCCATCCTAACCTGTAAAAAACAATACAAAATTAACATTTTTCTTATTTTTTCCTCTCGACATGGACGTCCTGTCGTCCACGGCGATAATCCATTGCAAAAAATACCACAAAGAGCACACGCGCGCGTTCATGTCAGAATCCTACCGAACACCGTGTGTTTGCAAGCATTTCAACATAAAAACATCAAAAACCCAATGCTTTTTCACAAAAATTCTACAAATTTCCTGCCCGGGCTCTCTTGCTGAAATCATAGGAAAACCATAGGAATCTTAAGAATTCTGTCAAATCCAGCGATTTCACGTCATCGCGCGGTGCACTCGCGATGCTCTGTCATGCACCCAGGCCGCGAATCCTGTGCAAAAAATACCACGCGGGCGACATGCGCGCGCGTCGCCGCGAGCGCATGCTCAAATCCTTCTAGAGTCGTCGCCGTCATTGGCACCGTCGCATGGACGTCCTGTCGTCCACGTCGCAAAATGCATGGCAGGAATGGGACGCGGCGCACACCCCGCGCCCGCCCATCCAATCCGTCCCATTCTAATCTGAAAAAGACAATACACAGTTTCTGTTTTTCGGCATTCAACACGCGCTCGCCAGCTCCCGTCGGCAACCGCCATCGCGGCCGCATCAGCTGTACCAAACCGGCTGGCCGGTGTGACTTCGGCACCCAGTTGTGCCAGCTTTGCTTCTTATGTTGTGGGAGGGCGGGTGGGACTGGGCATGCCATGCTTGACTTGACTCGCTCGAGCTGGCTAGCTTGACTCTTACTCTTGCTCTTACTCTTACTAGTATTATTACCATTCGTATTAGTATTTCTCTTACTCTTACTCTTACTCTTACTCTTACTCTTACTATTACTATTACTATTACTATTGCTATTACTATATCTATGACTATTACTTTTACCACTACTATTATTATTACTATTACTATTATTCCCCACATGCTGAGTGGGGTTCTTGTTTTCCCAAAACACCCTCTCCTTCCCACCCACCTCCCGCTCCATCTTCCATACAGCACAATGTTATTCCTACCACACACACCATACCATAGCATACCATATTTCACACCAGTGCCACATCGTACCATACCATACCATACCTCCAGTACCATACCATACCAAATCATACCATACCGTACCATACCATACCTACCATACCATTCCATACCACTACCATACCAAACTGTTTACCATACCTGAGCGAGGAGGGTATCTGAATACCATACTATTTACATGGTTTCGTGCCCCTCCCACCCCTCCAGGGAGGCCCCGCCTGAGCGAGGAGGGTATCGGAATACCATACTATTTACATGGTTTCGTGCCCCTCCCACCCCTCCAGGGAGGCCCCGCCTGAGCGAGGAGGGTATCGGAATACCATACTATTTACATGGTTTCGTGCCCCTCCCACCCCTCCAGGGAGGCCCCGCCTGAGCGAGGAGGGTATCGGAATACCATACTATTTACATGGTTTCGTGCCCCTCCCACCCCTCCAGGGAGGCCCCGCCTGAGCGAGGAGGGTATCGGAATACCATACTATTTACATGGTTTCGTGCCCCTCCCACCCCTCCAGGGAGGCCCCGCCTGAGCGAGGAGGGTATCGGAATACCATACTATTTACATGGTTTCGTGCCCCTCCCACCCCTCCAGGGAGGCCCCGCCTGAGCGAGGAGGGTATCGGAATACCATACTATTTACATGGTTTCGTGCCCCTCCCACCCCTCCAGGGAGGCCCCGCCTGAGCGAGGAGGGTATCGGAATACCATACTATTTACATGGTTTCGTGCCCCTCCCACCCCTCCAGGGAGGCCCCGCCTGAGCGAGGAGGGTATCGGAATACCATACTATTTACATGGTTTCGTGCCCCTCCCACCCCTCCAGGGAGGCCCCGCCTGAGCGAGGAGGGTATCGGAATACCATACTATTTACATGGTTTCGTGCCCCTCCCACCCCTCCAGGGAGGCCCCGCCTGAGCGAGGAGGGTATCGGAATACCATACTATTTACATGGTTTCGTGCCCCTCCCACCCCTCCAGGGAGGCCCCGCCTGAGCGAGGAGGGTATCGGAATACCATACTATTTACATGGTTTCGTGCCCCTCCCACCCCTCCAGGGAGGCCCCGCCTGAGCGAGGAGGGTATCGGAATACCATACTATTTACATGGTTTCGTGCCCCTCCCACCCCTCCAGGGAGGCCCCGCCTGAGCGAGGAGGGTATCGGAATACCATACTATTTACATGGTTTCGTGCCCCTCCCACCCCTCCAGGGAGGCCCCGCCTGAGCGAGGAGGGTATCGGAATACCATACTATTTACATGGTTTCGTGCCCCTCCCACCCCTCCAGGGAGGCCCCGCCTGAGCGAGGAGGGTATCGGAATACCATACTATTTACATGGTTTCGTGCCCCTCCCACCCCTCCAGGGAGGCCCCGCCTGAGCGAGGAGGGTATCGGAATACCATACTATTTACATGGTTTCGTGCCCCTCCCACCCCTCCAGGGAGGCCCCGCCTGAGCGAGGAGGGTATCGGAATACTATACTATTTACATGGTTTCGTGCCCCTCCCACCCCTCCAGGGAGGCCCCGCCTGAGCGAGGAGGGCATCAAGAAAATGGGTCCCACAAAACCGTTAATATCTTTATGTGGGGAACTCCGTTAGCATACTTTTTACTACTAATACGATTAGTGTTAGTAGTACTACTACTATCACTTTATTACTAGTACTATTACTCTTACTATTACTATCACCACCATTATTATGTGTACTGCTACTATTAATATTATTTCTATTCCTATTTATAGTACTCTTACTCTTACTATTACTCTTACCATTACTATTACTATTACTATTACTATTACTATTACTATTACTATTACTATTACTATTACTATTACTATTACTATTACTATTACTATTACTATTACTATTACTATTACTATTACTATTACTATTACTATTACTATTACTATTACTATTACTATTACTATTACTATTACTATTACTATTACTATTACTATTACTATTACTATTACTATTACTATTACTATTACTATTACTATTACTATTACTATTACTATTACTATTACTATTACTATTACTATTACTATTACTATTACTATTACTATTACTATTACTATTACTATTACTATTACTATTACTATTACTATTACTATTACTATTACTATTACTATACTATCACTATTACTATTACTATTACTATTACTATTACTATTACTATTACTATTACTATTACTATTACTATTACTATTACTATTACTATTACTATTACTATTACTATTACTATTACTATTACGATTACGATTACTATTACTATTACTATTACTATTACTATTACTATTACTATTACTATTACTAATACTATTACTATTACTATTACTACTACTATCACTATTACTATTACTATTTGTATTTGTATTACTATTACTATTATTATTACTATTACTATTACTATTACTATTACTATTTCTATTACTATTACTATTATTATTACTATTATTATTACTATTGCTAGTACTATTACTATTGCTATTGCTATTGCTACTACTAGTACTGTTACTCTTAGTAATACTAGTACTCGTACTATTACGATTACTACCGCTATTACTATTACTATTACTAGTGCTAGTACAAGTACTACTACGATTACTACCACTATCACTATTATTACTATTGCTATTGCTAGTACTATTCCTAGTACTAGTACTAGTACTAGTACTAGTACTAGTACTAGTACTATCACTATTACTATTACTTTTACTATTACGATTAGCATTACTATTACTACTACTATCGCTATCACTATTGCTATTATTATTCGGAATCGTGGTGATGATGGTGATGGTGATAATAGTGATACGGATGATGCTGCTGACGATGTTGATATTGATGACGATTTTGGTTATGATGTTGATGATGATGCTGATGATGATGATGCTGATGCTGCTGATGATTATGATGATGACGATGATGGTGATGTTGCTGATGCTGCTGATGATGATGGTGCTGATGATGATGTTGATGATGATGCTGCTGCTGATGATGATGATGATGATGTTGATGAGTTCGATGCGTCTGCTGCTGATGACGGTGACGAGAAGGGGGCGGAGGAGGAGGAGGAGGAGGAACAGGAGGAGGAGGAGGAGGATGGGGCAGGATGAGGAGCAGGACAATGAGTGGGAGGAGGAGGAGGAGGAGGAGGAGGAGGAGGAGGAGGAGGAGGAGCAGGAGGAATGGACCGAGGAGGCGCGGTCGAGAGCTCCAGCTCCCAGCGACAAGGTCACGACGTCTCCAACTTCGTCAAGGACAACCTGCCCAAGATCCTGTTTTCCCAGGCGCGCGGGATGGGGCAGACGTGAGGGGGAGGCAGGGAGTGGACGCAGGGGGAGGGGACGGGGGGGGGGAGGAGGAAAGGGATGGGATGGGGAGGGATGCGGTATACGGAGCAGGGGGG